GTTGCTGCTGCTGCTGCTTGGGGGTTTTCTATGTTTTTTTGTGTTTAATCGGGTGGATTGCTGCTGTTTGCTGCTGTTCGCATGCATTTGCTTCTGCTGCAGCCCTTTGAAGTGTCTCTACACCTCAGCAGCGGAGTGGGTGTTGCTGTACCTCTTACCTCTGCTTCTCTCTCTGCAGCAGCAGCAGCAGCAGCAGCTCAAGAGGGCCTCTGGGGGCCTCTAGGGCCCCCCTCTTCAGCGTCGTTGCCTGCTGCTGCTGCACCAGCAGCAGCAGCAGCAGCAGCCACAGAAGCAGCAGCAGCAAATGGAGGCTCTTTAAAGAAGCACTGCATGAGGCAGCGTCTCTGGGGGGCCTCCCGTTGGGCTCGGGATGCTTGTCGTGCTGCAGCAGCAGCAGCAGCAGCTGCTGCTGCTGCAGCAGCAGCAACAGCAACAGAAACTGTCCTTGAGCGGGTGCCGTTTGCCGGTGCTGCGCTTCTGCAGCAGCTGCAGCAGCAGCAGCAGCAGAAATCCCCGCAGCAGCAACAGCAGCAGCAGCAGCAGAGTTCTTCTTCTGCTGCTCAGTTGTTTGTGCGGCTGGATGCGAAGGGGTCTCTTAGCATAACCCCTTACATGTTTATAAAAGGAGACACTTCTGCTGCTGCTGCTGCTGCTGCTGAGAGCCCATCGAAGTACCTCCTTTTGCGGCGTCTCCTTCGCTGCATTGATTTTAAGGGTCTCTGTATGCAAACAACTTGGGGGGCGCATCTCTTCTTAGGGGCCCCCATGCTGCAGCAGCTGCAGCAGCATCTGCAGCAGCAGCTCTTGCGGAAGCGCAAGGAAGGAGGGCTGCAAGCAGCTGCAGCAGCAGCAAGAGCAGCAGCAGCAGCAGCTGCTGCTGCTGCTGCTCAAGGCCCACCTGGTGAGGTCCCCACACTGGAGGGAGAAGGCATGCCGAGGGGTCTAGAGAGATTTGCTGCTGCTGCTCCTGCTGCTGCTGCTGCTGCAGCTGCTGCAGCACTAAAAGAACCCCACATTCTTATTCTCTCCTCTAGGCATTCGCTCTCTCTTCCCTTCGTGGTCAGGTATGCTGTTGCTGCTGCTCCTGCTGCTGTTGCTGCTGCTGCTGCTGCTGCTTATATGCTGGAGCGGCAGTATCTGCTGCAGCTGGCTCGTAGTATTGTAGCGGTGTTGTTACTCTTGCTGCTGCTGCTGTTGCTGCTGCTGCTGCATGCAGGAGACAGTTGCATTGGGGACAGAAGGAGACATCTGTACCTTTGTTTGAACTTATGCTTTTTGTTGATGGGAGCATAATGCCTCTGTCTGTACACCGCAAAGGAGACACCCCAGGTGCAGCAGCAGCAGCAGGAGCTGGAGCAGCAGCAAATGTCTCTCCCCACGACCCTCAGGCTGCTGCAGCAGCAGCAGATGCAACAGATGCAGCAGCAGCAGCAGCTGCTGCTGCTGCAGAAGCTGATATTGGGGCACCTGACGAAGCAGCAGCAGCAGCAGCTGCTGCTGCAGCTGCTGCTGCAGCACCGCATGCATTGAACGAGGACCAAGGCGCAGCAGCAGCAGCAGCAGCGCCAGAAGCAGCAGCAGCAGCAGCAGCAGCAGTACCACCGCCATCACCATCACCACCAACACCCGCAGCAGCTGCTGTTGCCGCTGCTGCTGCTGCTGCTGCTGCATACCCCTGGGAAGCAACAGCGGGGTTTGCGCTGCGTCTGCACCCCTTGCTGCTAGGCGTGAGCTGGAACGTTAAAGATATTAAACAAGGAAGCAGATTCTTTATTCGATTTAAACAAAACACTTAAAAACATATGCATGCATGCATGCATGCATGCATGCAGCATTTATCGCTTGTTTGTTTGTCTGGTGAAGGAAGAACTGTCTCTTCTTAATCCTATTTTTTTACTGTCTCCTTTGTTGCCTGCTGCTGCTGCTGCTGCTGCTGCTGCTGCTACTACTACTACTACTGCTTAGCTGCTGCTGCTGCTGCTACTACTACTACTACTACTACTACTACTACTGCTTAGCTGCTGCTGCTGCTGCTGCCAGTACCAGTCATGTTTGTCTCTGTCTCTTTATTTCAATCAGCTAACGCAAATAGCAACAATGCAGAGAGGGAGCAGCAGAAGCAGCAGCTAGAGCAGCAGCAGCAGCAGCAGCAGCAGCAGCAGCAAGTTGTTGTCTTTGCTTCTGTTTCTAATCCGAATGAATACATTTACTTATTATGCATAGGGGCAGCCCCAAAGTCTTTCGCATGCAGCAGAATTACCTCTGCATGCACGCAGCAATTAAAAAGAATTTTCTTAGATTTGCTGCTGCTGCTGTGCATGCACAGAGCAGCAAGAAGAAGAAGACCATAGAGAAGCCCCACAGCGACTCACCTATTAATAACTATAATATATACATATAAATAATATATATAATATATATATAATACATACATATATAATATATATACTCTATATTTCTATGCACAGATAAATATATATATATATATATATATATATAT